AACCCCCCCCGATGTCCCCAGGACGATGACACCAATTTCCACATGGATTTCATCGTGGCCGCCTCCAACCTGCGGGCGGAGAACTACGACATCCCCCCGGCCGACCGGCACAAGGTGCGAACTGGGAGCACTGGGAGGTACTGGGAGCACTGGGAGAGGGGTGGGGGATGCTGGGGAGCACTTGGAGAGGGGCTGGGGAGCACTGGGAGATACTTGGGAGATACTGGGAGATACTGGGAGAGGGGCTGGGGAATACTGGGGGGCCCTGGGGGAGGGGTGGGGGATACTGGGGAGCACTGGGGGATACTGGGGAGCACTGGGAGAGGGGCTGGGGGATACTGGGAGATAGTGGGAGATACTGGGAGAGGGGCTGGGGGGTCCTGTGGTGTTTTTATGGGTTCTGTGGGGTTTTTATGGGGATTTTTATGAGGTTTTGGGGTTTTTATGGGTTCTGTGTTGTTTTTATGGGGTTTTTATAATTCCTGTGCTGTTTTTATGGGTTCTGTGGTGTTTTTATGGGCTCTGTGGTGTTTTTATGGGCTCTGTGGTGTTTTTATGGAGTTTTTATGGGTTCTGTGGTGTTTTTATGGGGTTTTTATGGGTTCTGTGGTGTTTTTATGGGGTTTTTATGGGCTCTGTGGTGTTTTTATGGGCTCTGCGGTGTTTTTATGGGCTCTGCGGTGTTTTTATGGGCTCTGTGGTGTTTTTATGGAGTTTTTATGGGTTCTGTGGTGTTTTTATGGGGTTTTTATAATTCCTGTGCTGTTTTTATGGGTTCTGTGGTGTTTTTATGGGTTCTGAGTTGTTTTTATGGGGTTTTTATGGGTTCTGAGCTGTTTTTATGGGGTTTTTATGGGCTCTGTGGTGTTTTTATGGGGTTTTTATGGGCTCTGTGGTGTTTTTATGGGCTCTGTGGGTGCTGTGGGGCCGTTCCAGGAGTTCTCTGGGACACGTGGATCCCGCATCGCCCCCCGTGTGGATCCCAATCCCCCCCTGGGGCTCTGGGGGAACCTCAGCACCCTCAGGTTGATTTCTGGGCTCCGAAGCCAACCCCAAACCCCGTTTTTGGCGTCCCCAGAGCAAACTGATCGCGGGGAAGATCATCCCGGCCATCGCCACCACCACGGCGGCCGTGGTGGGCCTGGCGTGCCTGGAGCTCTTCAAGCTGGTGCAGGGGCACCGCCGGCTCAGCTCCTACAAAAACGCCTTCCTCAACCTCGCCCTGCCCTTCGTGGGCTTCTCCGAGCCCCTCGCCTGCCCCCGCAACAAGGTGGGCACGGGGGGCACCAACAGGGGGGGTTGGGGGTCTCTGGGG